TGAAACGAAATGAAACGAAATGAAACGAAATGAAACGAAATGAAAGGAAATGAAAGGAAATGAAAGGAAATGAAAGGAAATGAAAGGAAATGAAAGGAAATGAAAGGAAATGAAAGGAAATGAATTGGAATTGAAATGAAATGAATTGGAATGAATTGGAATGAATTGGAATGAATGGAATGGAATGAATTGGAATGGAATGGAATGGAATGGAAGGAAGGAATTGAATTGAATTGAATTGAATTGAAATGAAATGAAATGAAATGAAATGAAAGAATGAATGAATGAAGGAAGGAAGGAAGGAATGAATGAATGAATGAATGAAATGAATGAAATGAATGAAATGAACGAAATGAACGAAATGAATGAAATGAATGAAATGAATGAAATGATTGAAATGAATGAAATGAATGAAATGAATGAAATGAATGAAATGAATGAAATGAATGAAATGAATGAAATGAATGAAATGAATGAATGAATGAATGAAAGAAAGAGATGAATGAATGAATGAAAGAAAGAAAGAACTAATGGACGAAGACATGAACAAATGAACAAATGAACGAACGAATGATTGAATCAAAAAATAGATAAAATAACTATAGCAAACCAATGGGCGTCCTGTTCTCTGATATTCCCTATGTGGTTGAATTGGTGAACGCTGGAAAACTGCAGCCAGTTTCTCAACCTTGACTGCTACCAGCCAACCATTTGTTTGCAACTCCCCATTTTTTTCCACTAAAGATCCTTTGATTATCGTTGATGTTGATTTGCATACGCGTGGCTGATCATCTATGTGTGGCACAGACTTGGAAGAGGGGTAGCCTATGATAGCCTTCTCCCATCGAAGTTCATCTACAGCTTTGCAACCCAAATTCGGTGCCATGTTGCGATTGCGCAGTGTCACCTCCAGATCGGTCCCAAGCGGCTAAGGGCGTATGGTTGCTCAGAATTGACCCAAAAATATCCCTAAATTGCACCGCCCGCTAAGACTGGCCAAACATGTCGTTTTGAAGGCCTTACAGTTGAGTGCTCATGATATTTCAGGATTTCTGATCACACAGGAGATTTTAGCAGGACCCAAGCTTGCTGCGATGCCCTAAATCCATCCCAGTTCAAATTTCAACTACAGAATGGGAGGCCTTGTGCCCCGTATCAAGGGCATTTCCGGATTTAAATTAAGAATTAAGATGCCAAAATGGGGTTGGGCCAGGCATTTTGTGGCCACAGCTTGGGAATTGCATTTTATATCATTTTATAAGTTTTCAACGTTTCGGTAGTTGAAAGACCTGTAAAAATCAAAAATCATTTTGTAGCAAGGGAATTTGCCCATCGGAAGACAACATATGAAAATATATATATAAACCTAATCTCATTTTGTAGCAAAGCAAGTTGCCCTTCAGACAACAACATGTTAAAACATGTTAACAAAGTATTTTGTAGTGTTGAGGTGTTCCCTTCAAGTAACCTGATGATAAAAACATGTAAATTATAAAACCAATCTTCATTTTGTAGTGGTGGAGTGTCCCCTTCAAATAACTTGATGATAATACCAATCTTCATTTTGTAGTGGTGGAGTTTCCCCTTCAAGTAACCTCATGATAAAAACCAATCTTCATTTTGTAGCAGTATCATGTTGTCATTTTCCGTAACCCTCTGGAGGTTGAGAACCATCATTTTATAATGGCTGAGGTTAGGAACTTTTTGCAATGCCTACAAAATGAGGGTCTCGACCCCATAGGTGAAATTCAAACCGGGATCTAAATCCCAGAAACCATCAGAAACCTAAGGATATCATGGACCTCTTCAAGGCTTATATGATGGCTGGCACGACCATGGCTTCTCGGTGCATTCGCACATGGATTCGTTTATGTTTACCTGCAGAAATCTAGCATGGCATAGAGCTAGCGCATTTCACCCGCCAAAAGGTTCAGTGTATCTTAGTGCCTTATAACATTTTATAACATAAACTGCAATAGTTTTCGGCCAAAAATGAGCGGTCCAGGGCACTGATTCATTGATTCTCTTTTTCTGCTCCTTCCCCCTTCTACTTCTTTCATCCATGCGACAACCTCATCCTTTGCTTCTCCTCCTGGCGTTAGACAGCATTGGAGGTGCTTCGTGACTTCACTTGCAGCGCAGGTGCGGCACAAAAACGTTTGGGGCAGCATAACGGACCTCTTTGACCGCGACTTTTTCGGCACGTTGCCGGATACCAAAGAGGCTGATGTTGCCTTTATATTGGATGACTTTCCAAACCTTACAAGCGTACCTTGGCTACCATCCTTGCCCAAATCCTTTCCGTCGAGGGTCTGACGCCATGTTCAGCCACAGCCCTTATTCATGGACCCCTGGTATCCTGTGGTCATCCGCAGAGGGCCAGCTTCATTTTGTGCGGCAGAGTGGTGGATGTGGTGGTTCTTTTGATTTTATGGCCCGCCACCGCATTGCTACTCCAAGGCAGAGTTCCTTGAGATAATTCTTGTCTCCCACGACATGGACTGCTACATCCAGGGCCTCAAGGCCCGGTGAAATCGTTGGCAAATGCCACTTGCTTGGGCACAGGGGGGGGGCAGAATATCCATGTCATTATTCATCAAGATATATCCAGAATCCAGAATAATCTATAGATCTATAGATATTCTATAGATATATCTAGACAATTTATGGTGAAATCTGTGGTAGCATCCTAAAGCCAGGCCTGCAAAGCCGTTGATAGACAAAGTCTAAAGGCGAGAGAGAGTGAGGGAGAGATAGAGATGGATACTATAGATAGTCAGATAGACCGATAGATAGATGGATAGATGGATAGACGGATAGACGGATACATGAACGGATGGAAAAACGGATAGATGGATCAATGGATGGATAGAGATGCGCGATGAGTTCCAGCATCAATGTATTCGTTCAATGTGGCTAGCCTAGTCAGCTACCATACCAGCGATGCGCAGAAAATTGAATCGATCGAGGACATGCCGACTTTGGATGTGGGCCACGCCACGGGCCTATGCTGGCCTCATTTTCCTGCTTGTTCATTGTTCATGATATATGATTAATTAATATTAATTATATATATATGATTGTATGTATATGTATATGTGTATATATATGTATATACTGTATATATATTACACGCACGTGTATGTAAATTATATACATATAAGAAATAGTTTGTTGGATTCATGTCCCCTCTTCATCCTCTTCTACTGTTCAAGAGGGCCCACTGTATATAGATCTATGTTATATGTATATATATATACCCCATATATAAGAATTTGTTTGTTTATTGTTCAAGAGGGCCCAATATGTAGAGCAAGAGAGAGATATATATATATAATATACACACATATACACATAAGGGGTGATTTGTTGGATGCATGTCCCCCCCTTCTATCCTTCAAGAGGACCCAAGGTATACCAGGTACACATATAGCATATATATTTATATAACATATATTTATTTTGTATATATATATATATAACATCAATAATTGGTCTGTTGGATGCACGTCCCTGGGTGCTCGCCAGCCCCAGGCAGAGGATGGCGAGGAGCTGCAGTTGACCAAAACAAATTCTGCCTTTTGCCATGACCATGCTAGCGGTCCTACCTCTGACTCTGAGGCAACGGATAAGTCATCTGAATTCATTCGTTTGGATTGCCTATTGCGAAGTGGAAATATTGCAAGTATGGGTTGGTTTGAAAATAGGGTACGCTCTTCGAATGGCTATTCTAATAGGATAATGACGAACAGCCAATGGATTTGGGGGGGTGCCCCGTTTTCAGACAACCGATATGATCAAATATGTTGTTATGTGTTTACGTTTTCCTGTCTAGGGATTTTGGAACCTCCAACCAGTTGTGTAGAAGGCACTGTGGTGCAATGTTTTGTCAGATGGCCCCACCCAGGAATCCAAATCCGACATTAGTACTGATGGTGAAGCTTGCAAGGCCTGCGACGGATGGCAGCCAACATCAAGCTTTGCTCTTCCCGTGTCGGCCTTCAAAGACAAGATGTGGAAGTCCGGGGCCCCAATGACAGAAAGTTTGAAATGTGAATATATAGCTGATAGCTTTTAATCTTAGCTTTTAATCTTAGTATTGGTTCCCTTGGTTCCATTTGCTCATATTTGCTCCATGGTTGTGGCAGCATGCGATCAATTGTGGTGCGGTTGCCAGTGGTTCAGCCTGAACGGACAGTGAGGGCCATCGCGTACAGCGATTGGAACTCTGATTATGCAGTGCGAAGGCCGCCTTGGATTAGTGCAATGCCCCAACATCTCCAAACGCCAAACAGTCTGACTATGGACGGTTGGATATGAGTCAGAAAGTTGACAGGTCGTCATTCTCTGTTGCACTTGGTGGCCTTTTTGTGGAGCTTTGAGAATGATGATTTGGCATTGCTTCAAAAATCATCAACAGTCAAATTCAATCAAAACCCGGTTTGGAAGTGTTTGGAGTATGTGGGCTAATGAAAATGTGTTTGAAAATGAATGCAACATATGCAACTGCTAGATGTTACATGATGTTACTGATGTCACAATATGTCACATCTGCCGTAGTCCCACTATCGCCGACAGATTGATCTTCAAGGGGCATCCAGTTTGCACCTCCTTGAGCACCTTTGAGGCATCGACAGTGCGGTGTTTGTCGATGTTTGTGGACTGTGGGAATCTGTTGGAGCTCGTAGCATCTTGTAGCATTCTTCTCCTGAAAATTACCCGAAATTATGACCAATGCATACCAATGCTATGAAATGGTGCTATGAAATGATGCGAATTCAAAAGGGTGGACCAGACCGAGACATCCAGCTGCAAGCCCCCGGCCTCCTGCGGCCTCCTGCGGTGCAGGAAGAGATCCCCTTGGGCAACATTTTCATCTCCATCGAGCTTTCCCTGAAGCCACAGATCAAACCCATTGCATGGATGCCTGGGCACAGGGCCTCAGACAAAGAGGTGGAAAGCTCATCACCCATTAGATCATTGTAAAGCTTTTTCTGATGGCTTTTCATGGTTTGTTCACTGTTTGTGTATGATTCGATCAGAGCCTTCTAGCTTTAGGGGACATAGTGGATGCGTCATGAACTCAATGGTGAAGAGCCTTATGAGCAAACATCATACAGGACTTGCTTTAGGCTTTGGATCCTTGCTCAACTGAAATACAGCTGGTGACAGCAGCTCTGCCTGCATGAGGCAAAAGGTGCAAGCCGATACCTACCCTTGTAAGAAACTTGCCTAGATTTGGGGACTGCCTTGTGTGTGTGTTGGTGTGTGGGTGGGTGTGGGGGGGTGATGGGTGTGCGTGTGGGTGTGTGTGGTGTGTGGGTGGTGGGTGGGTGTGTGGGTGGGTGTGTGGATTGTGGGGTGGATGTGTGGGGGTGTGTTGGGTGGGGGTGTGGGTGGTGGGGTGGGTAGTGGGGTGGGCGTGAGGTGGGTGGGTGGGTGGGCGCGCAGGCGGGCGGCGGGCGGGCGGGCGGGGGGCGCGCTGTGCGCGTGCGCCGCGTGCTGGCGGGCGGGCGGGCAGGCGATCGGGCGACGGGCGGGCGTGCGTGCGTGCGGGTGTGTCTGTGTGTGTCTGTGTGTGTCTGTGTGTGTGTGTGTAACATCTAAATAGATGTAAAACTTCTTCCTTTTTCTTTCTTCTTTCCTCTCCCCTTCTAATAGTGCAGGGGGCAGAGGGATCTCCAGATGTGGCCTCTGCCAACGAAGCTCCACACTGGATGATCAGGAAAACGTACCTGCAGTGAGGTCGACCTGGGCATTGAGATATGCAGCTGGTGACCTATACAAGTGATGTTGAATCGCTGTACCGTGTTTCTCGATTCAGGTCACGAAGGTCATTCGGGAGAACTTCCATTATTCGATGGGTACTACGTAAGTTAATTTGTTTCTTGTCTAATTTGCACGTTTACAGGACTCAGTTCCTGATGGATCTATTCAAAGATCCAATCTTGTCTAGTGTAATATCCATGGTGGCTCCGACATGGTGCCATGGAGCCAATTGAGGCAACCCTTTTTAGGGTGACTGTTGACTGACCGGATTGCTGAATTGACACGTTTCAATTGGTAATTCGTTTAAGTAAAGTGAAACAGCTGGCCTTTCCGTTCTGCACCTTTGTTGTGAAGTCCTGCTGCTCCTGCCGTCCCTGTGAATCTTACGGAATACATTTCTGCCAGTGTGACGCCAATCTGAACTGCCAGAAACTCCTTTTTTTGCCACTGCAGCTCGAGTTTTCGAAGTTCAACATGACATGTGCGACAGCAGGCATGTCCTTTTCCTGCAGGTGTGGTCTCTTTGGTGTTTGGTGAGGTTGAACATATTGTGCACCTAATTCGTTGGAACTCGTATAGCTGTTTATGCCATTGCGGCACGACTTGACCACGGTCCCCCATTTGGTCCCTAATTCCTTTTTTCCCCCCGTGCCTCTCCGTAAGGTTGGTTCTGGAGGTCCGTTCGTTCCCTCACCCCCCCGGCGCTGTTTTGGCCTTTTGCCCGTCGTCTGTGTCCGCTTTTTTCTTCCTCTTGCCTTTCAGGGTTGACCCGGCTCCGGCCGGGTGTGTGTGCGTGTAACATCTAAATAGATGTAAAACTTCTCCCTTTTTCTTTCTTCTTTCCTCTCTCCTTCTCATAATGCAGGGGGCAGAGGGATCTCCAGATGTGGCCTCTGCCAACGAAGCTCCACACTGGATGATCAGGAAAACGTACCTGCAGTGAGGTCGACCTGGGCATTGAGATATGCAGCTGGTGACCTATACAAGTGATGTTGAATCGCTGTACCGTGTTTCTCAGCATGTTTGCAAGTGCCGCACGGGGATTCATGTACCTGCATCGAAGGGTATTACGTAAGTTAATTTGTTTCTTGTCTAATTTGCACGTTTACAGGACTCAGTTCCTGATGGATCTATTCAAAGATCCAATCTTGTCTAGTGTAATATCCATGGTGGCTCCGACATGGTGCCATGGAGCCAATTGAGGCAACCCTTTTTAGGGTGACTGTTGACTGACCGGATTGCTGAATTGACACTTTTCAATTGGTAATTCGTTTAAGTAAAGTGAAACAGCTGGCCTTTCCGTTCTGCACCTTTGTTGTGAAGTCCTGCTGCTCCTGCCGTCCCTGTGAATCTTACGGAATACATTTCTGCCAGTGTGACGCCAATCTGAACTGCCAGAAACTTTTTTTGCCACTGCAGCTCGAGTTTTCGAAGTTCAACATGACATGTGCGACAGCAGGCATGTCCTTTTCCTGCAGGTGTGGTCTCTTTGGTGTTTGGTGAGGTTGAACATATTGTGCACCTAATTCGTTGGAACTCGTATAGCTGTTTATGCCATTGCGGCACGACTTGACCACGGTCCCGAAGGGGAGTAACGGACGACCTCTAGGATAGGTGGAACTGAGTCCTTGTTTAGGTTAATTGTTTTGTTTCACTCTTGTCACCAACTAGTCCCCCATTTGGTCCCTAATTCCCTTTTCCCCCCCGTGCCTCTCCGTAATGTGTTGTGGGGTTTAGGTGGTGTGCTCTGTTTTTGTTAGGTCCGTTTCGCCGCGTAGGTTGGTTCTGGAGGTTCGTTCGTTCCCTCCCCCCCCTGCGCTGTTTTGGCCTTTTGCCCGTCCGCTTTTTTCTTCCTCTTGCCTTTCAGGTTGACCCGGCTCCGGCCGGGTGTGTGTATGTGTGTAACATCTGAATAGATGTGAAACTTCTCTCCTTTTCTTTCTTCTTTCCTCTCGCTTTTAATAACGCAGGGGGACGTGGCATACAATCAGGGACCACGTCCAACGAAACTACCTGATTGTATGGGATACAGAGCCTGATCAGCTCTGCGTACCTGCAGCTCGAATTTTCCGGAAGAGCAAGGGGCCACCAAGCTCAGAACCACAAACACAATGTTTTTTATTTCGAGAAGTACTACAAGGAGATCTACTGTAAGTCTAATGGTCTAGGCTGGTTTGCACGTTACAGGACTCAGTTCCTGCCGGACCACTATAATGATCCAGTTCTTGTCTAGTGTGATTTCCATGGTGGCTCCGGCATGGTGCCATGGAGCCAATTGAGGCAACCCTTTTTAGGGTGACTGAGGACAGACCTGATTTCAGAATTGACATTTTTGAATTAGTAATTCGATGTAATTCGTTTAAGTAAAGTGCAACAGCTGGCCTTGCGGTTTTTCAGCAATTTTTTGAGATTCCCGCTGATCCTGCGGTCCCTTGTGAAGCCTTGTGGAATGCAGTTCTCCGACTGTGCAGCCGTGCCAAACTGCCAGAAACTTCCTTTTTCGCTGCTGCTTCAGTGACTGAAGTGACATGTGCATTACTACACGACACAGAGATCAGGCAGGTACATGGCCTTAGGTGTGGTATTCTTCCCTTTTGATTGTTCTCTGGTGAGGTCAAACATATTGTGCACCTAATTCGATGGAACTTGTCTAGCTGTTATATGCCCTCTGGGCTGACCTGACTACCGTCCCGGCAAGGGAATAACGCACGACCTCTAGGTATCTAGGAACTGAGTTCTGTTTTTAAACTAATTGTTTTGGTTTCTCTTGTTTGCCATCAACTAGTCCCCCATTTGGTCCCTAATTCTCCCCGCGTGCCTCTCCGTAATGTGTCGTGGGGTTTTAGGTGTGTGCTCTGTTTTGGTCAGGTCCGTTTCGCCACGTAGGTTGGTTCTGGAGGTCCGTTCGTTCCCCTCCCCCCCCTGCGCTGTTTTGGCCTTTTGCCCGTCGTCTGTATCCGCTTTTTTCTTCCCCTTGCCTTTCAGGTTGACCCGGCTCCGGCCGGGTGTGTGTATGTGTGTAACATCTGAATAGATGTGAAACTTCTCTCCTTTTCTTTCTTCTTTCCTCTCGCTTTTAATAACGCAGGGGGACGTGGCATACAATCAGGGACCACGTCCAACGAAACTACCTGATTGTATGGGATACAGAGCCTGATCAGCTCTGCGTACCTGCAGCTCGAATTTTCCGGAATAGCAAGGGGCCAAGCTCAGGCCCCCAAACACAATGGTTTTATTTCGAGAAGTATTACAAGGAGATCTACTGCAAGTCTAATGGTCTAGGCTGGTTTGCACGTTACAGGACTCAGTTCCTGCCGGATCACTATAATGATCCAGTTCTTGTCTAGTGTGTGTAACATCTAAATAGATGTAAAACTTCTCCCTTTTTCTTTCTTCTTTCCTCTCCCCTTCTAATCTTCTAATAATGCAGGGGGCAGAGGGATCTCCAGATGTGGCCTCTGCCAACGAAGCTCCACACTGGATGATCAGGAAAACGTACCTGCAGTGAGGTCGACCTGGGCATTGAGATATGCAGCTGGTGACCTATACAAGTGATGTTGAATCGCTGTACCGTGTTTCTCAGCATTGGTTTGCAAGTGCCCCAAGGGGATTCATGTACCTGCATCGAAGGGTATTACGTAAGTTAATTTGTTTCTTGTCTAATTTGCACGTTTACAGGACTCAGTTCCTGATGGATCTATTCAAAGATCCAATCTTGTCTTGTGTGTGTGTGCGCGTGCGTGTGTGTGTGTGTGTTTGTGTGTGTGTGTGAAATCCGCTATCACTCATGCGGACCTGAGTTTCTGTTAACAAGTTGATTCAAACAATCCATCAGATGCAGGGGCGTGCAGCACCTTTGGCATACTGCACGCAACGAAGCTATTGCCATTGGTGGGAAGGGGAGACTGATCACCTCCCTGTACCTGCAGAAGTTGGTTTTGAACTGTTGAACAAGCTGTCCATTTTCATGCGTATATGTTGCTAATTTGAGATTATCTCAGAAATCAGAGTTTCCCACTGCTTTCCCTACTCGACTGACCAGGATTTTGGACCTAGGAACCCTCAAGGCATGAACTACTTCATCACTATAAAGTTCCTCATTCGAGTAATGTTACTCAGTAACATGCTCCCATCAGCAGTGTGTAACGGGCACAGTGTCACTGACTTGTGACTGCCGTCCGCGTGTTTGGTGACACGCGTTGAATCGGTACCGGCCTTCCGGAAGAATAGTGGGGTACTGCAATACCTCGAAATTTGACGGGTATTAATTCCCGTGTGAATTGGCTTCAGGCCGAAATACATGAATCAAATACAATGCAAGATTTCACAAGATTTGGAATACGTCACAAGACAGCAGCAAGCCGTATGGCTGGAATTCTGAAAGACAGACACGAATTTATTACATTCTACACGTTCGGGCAACTCAGATCTGTTCTGTCATCATTTAGTTCTTTTG